TACGTATAAAAATGAGTATTGCTTGCCTCCAATTAAAAAAATCTTACTCAAAAATGAGCCTTAAAAGACTGTTTTTAACTTAGGAGCCCTGAGAAATGCTGTTGTCATGCCGTAGTAATGACTGACATTTCAAGTCAAGCTAGGAAGAAGTCATCAACAGAGTCAAGTGAAGAGTTGTTGTCAGTCAAGTGTGATAATTCTGTTTGTAGGTTCCAAACGGAGATTTCATGATTTTAACATGACCAAACTCCTAGTTGTTATCAGGCCGAGCAAGTGATCTTGTTTGGCCATGTGTGTGATGATTTTGTTCTGAAGATGTGAATGTGAATCGTTTTCATCCCATTGATTTCAACAAACATTTTTCAGTTATTTTGAGAAGGAACCCTCAGACTGTTTGTAATTGTTCGACATTTCGATTTATTTGAGCTCTGCATACTTTCATTTTGCTTTATTTTGCTTCGCGTTTGCAAGTTTCGATTTTGTAATTCTACTTTCAGAAACATATTTGTATGCCGTTTATTTCGATGAACCTGGATTAAAGACTAAAATTTACCGATCGATTCAGTGGTTACACTGTTTTGTGTAGACTGGTTGGTCAGTTTAGCCACATTGTTATTTTCTATTAGACTCAAGTTGAGAATGTTAGTTGTGATGGATATCAGTAATATTAAGTTGCTCTCTTTGGTTTGTTTCTTGTGAAATGGTGATGGGTGAGTTGTTTGTATGGTGCCGACTGGTAGTAGTTGACACCCGTGGAAGGGAGTCTATTCTAGGTTCTGGTAAACCAGCTAATTCCAGAGTCAGTTGTGGAAAATAGCTTGTGCAGTAGGTTCAGTAATGTGATTGTTGGGTCACCTTTTCTATATAGTGGCTTGCTTGTGCTCATTCAGTCTTGTTCTGAGCTTTCTGCCTGTTTCTCTGGTCTAGGCGGCTTGGGAGTCAAAGCACTTGTTCTTATAAACCACGTACTCCCTTTATGTTCTTCAGTTCATCGATGTCTTTGACATTCATTAATTTGTATCGGACATGGTGCAGTGATGGGTTTGTAGGTGACGTGGATATGTATTGAAGGGTTATAGAACTAGTAGATGTGTAGGGGTTGCAGTGTTATCACGGTCAGGGCTATTTGAAATTCTCTTCAGATGAGCTGTCTGTCTGCACACTAGTCACGCTCATTGTGGTAGAGTCCTAATCATCTTGGCTTTGCATGATGAATGACAAACCAACTGGACAGTATGATGTAAACAAAGGATCAAAACTCACTAATCACAACTTATGTCACTTGAGTCTTATAGCCAATAAAATCATGGTTAAACTGACAAATCAGTTTACACACACTGGAATTGATACACTCAACCAACATTAACACTTCACTTGATTCTGATGATGACTTCTGCTCAGGTTACTGAATTTTCAGCCACTACCTCTGACAAGAGTTCTTCTCCGGACTACCCTCGCCCACTCGATCAGACTATACTATCACTTTTTGCTAGTGTGACGCTTGCGACAAACGAGATCGAAGTCGAAGGGTGTCGCTAAAGCGTGTTAATGCTACGGGACTATCTTACAGGTCGTGTGCTTCAAGTACCAATAACCACGGAAAACCAAGGTTGACGGTTAACGGTGATTTAATGATGAGAAACGATTAGCGAACCATGATAGACAATCACGATCACGATCGTAAACTGAAATAACAATGCAATTTACTTTAAACGTTGCGTAACTCATGAATGAAAACGCTTAGAGCAATTAACCTGCCTCTGTCGATAACGCGATCAAAATTAACAACAATCAACAGGAATACTCGAAAATCACAATAAGCTACATCAAAATAACTTGAGATTTAAATTGATTGTAAGATTAACAAAGTGGGCGTTCCTAGCTTAGCGTCTCGATCTTTGATTTGCCCCCTTTAGATTGAAAACAATAAATAGTATTTTTGTACGACTCTGTACGTTAGTGTGCTTCCACCCAAAACAAGAAAACTAATCAAAGGAGGAAACTAGCAAAATTACTCACATATCGGTCCCGCTTGTGCCAAAGGTTAAGAACCAAAAACGGCGAGTTGAACAGATAGAATGGACAAGGCAAAATACAATCATACACTGGCTAAAGGGATGCTAAACAAGGCTTTTATACGCACCTGGGGACGCTGAAATATCTGATTACAAACCAATCGAGAATAGACTACAACATAACCACATCCGTAACCAAAGTAATTCGTAACAAATAAATCAAATTCCACTTAGGCTGAGTGAATCGTTTGAGTATCCTTAACAGCTAGGTATTTTAAAAGGAAATTTTCATAAAAACTCCAGTGTGGATATAATCTCACCTTCTACATTTTCTCAATTTGAGGAAATGCATATCGGGGCATTGAGCTATTTTCTTTGTTTCTTTTTTTTTTAGGTTCTGAGAGGAAATAATGACAGGTATTCTGAGGTGAAGCATGTTATTTATGGAGTGTTAACAAGGTATCTGCGATTCCTGCCACAAACTCACCAGGGTAGGGTGTGTATGAGAACAGAGATGTTTGGAGTGAAACAAAAGCCAAGTGAGTTTGGAATTTAATGTTTTGTGATTGCTATTATTCTATCACTTTTTTCTAGGCAATTTAAGATGCTCCACTGATCTTTGACAAAGTTTTTAGCCTACTGGCTATTTATTCTTGATAAGAACTGATGCTTGTTGTAAGAATTAGTTGGATACCCAGCTAAAACAATCTAAGCTGTTGTTTATCTAGTCCTCAAAAGCACCAAGCCCTGCATTTATTATAACTTGTAATCAGCATGTCCATGACATAATTGTCTATTTTGAAGTAAGAAACTTTATGAAATTTATTTGTAATTAAGAGGAATAGCTTATTGGAAAATGCTGAATTTTAAATTACTCTCATTGCACAAGACCTTATTTTGATCTTGAATCTTCCAACACTTAAAATGTTTATAGCAAATGAAGCATTGATGAATTGAAATGGAAAGCAATGCTTTTAAAATAGTATAATGTAGGTTAGAAACCAATTAAGTGAAGGTCAGATTCAATCTGCAGATCCTGGATAGGTTATTCCTTTGATTATTGTAATTTTTTTTAATATTATGCTATAGAATGTGAAGGCTAATTTTCGATTTTTACCTTGTAGTATGTGACATGGAGGCCATTGGTCTGGCCAGTGGTGGTGCAATCCCAAAGAGCAGTTTCACAGCCACATCTTTTTACAATGAGAAATACAATCCTTCAAATGGTCGCCTGAATGCAACAGGTTGGGCACCCAAATCTACAACTAATCCTGAGGATTACTTGCAAGTAGACCTGCTGTATGAGTATTTTATCTGTGCTGTGGCTACTCAAGGAAGTAAAAAATCTGTTGAGTGGACGACTGAGTACAAGATTCATTTATCCTTGGATGGTAAAAGCTTTTTTGCATATAGTGAAAACAGTACTGAAAAGGTTGGTGTATGTGAAGGTTGGTGTATGTGAAGGTTAATTATTTTATACATCAAAATTGCAAAATTAGCACCAGATGCACAACTTTATTGTTGAATCAAGAGGAGAAACTTAATAGAGGTGTTCACTTTTTCAACCTTAATCCTCATTCGAGTGAATTTCAAACAGTTACCATTTATACAGGTCCACACTGTTTCCTCAAGCTACAGCTAGCTATCAAGATCCTTCAATTGTTAATAAGTCCATTTTAGTCATCTGGACTTAATGGTGATGATTTTAACCCTAGCTAAATAATGTGATGTTCTTGTTTGCTCAAAAATACAGATGTATTACAAAAAATACAGAGGTATTCAACATGGAATCTCACCAACAGTGCCCGCACAGAGATACAGATTTTTATCTTTAATTAGGTGCCTCTTCCACTGTAATATATACCACAAGTTACTTGGCCAAAGTTTTTACTGTCAGAAATGATATTTCAACTTTAAGGGCACAGTCACATTATATGATACACAGTTTAACTTCTCTTTCGATCATTTGTTTTGGACATGAGAGACGTGTTCTCATAATGCTTCATGATTCATTGGCTAGTTATCAGGCTGAGCTCAAAGTCACTATTCATGGAGTAGCTGATACAGTACTTTTAGTTGTTTATGATGGAGCATTTTGATTAGGACATTTTTAGTACTTAACAGTAATTTTGAATTTTACAATACAAACTGCAGCTCTTTCCTGGAAATTCAGATAAAAATGGTGTTGTGAAAAACAGTCTACTGGAATTTGCAAGGGCAACGTTTATACGGTTTCAACCAACAAAGTATAAGAAATTTAAAGTTCTGAGAGTGGAAGTCTATGGGATACTTTTAACCATCACAGGTATTTATTTCCTCTCATTTTTGACTCCCTGAGATAAAAATGAAGTCACAGAAACTAATTCATGATTTTCAGAAGGCAAGATAGGGTAATGTTACTGAGCATAGTGCCGGTTCAGTGCTCTGATTGTTTGTTTTAATATAAATTTTTGGGCTGACATGAAAATTCTACCATACGTAAATGCCTTCTACATTAATTTTGGTGAAACTTAAAAGGTTAAAACCAGTACATACTTGATCAAACTAAAAATGTCTTACCAACTATCCAGGGATTCTGCAGACTCTCTCTTACCAAATAAAACAAAGTTTAGCCCAGACTTCAGGTTATGCAAAATATGATTGATAATAAACAAATTCCTTTGAAGTTCAGGTTAGGGTTTCTTGCATGCTTTTTATTCCCTCACTGATTACATTGTAATAATTTTTTGGTAGCAGAAAGGTCTGAAGCATCTTCACATTCAATATAGGAAGAATAAAGGTCTAGAGTAAATACAATCGGATCATTGAACCGCCACCTGATTAGCTCATGTTTTAGAGTGCTGGACTGCTATGCGGGCGGTCGAGGGTTGAAGCCCCAGACTGGAACAGCACTCGAGGTCTTAAAAAAACTGAGAATGTGCTGCCTCTGCTATCACAATCTGTAAATGGTTAGATATTCTAGTCTTCTTGGAAAAGGAAGAAAAGCGGAAGGCCCTGTCTCCTACATCCTCTCCGTAGTGGTGAGCAGGGGGTGTTAAGGAACCCACATACTTATTGCAAGGAGTAGGGAATGTAGCTTCTGGTGTTGTGGTCTGGCCTTGTCATTGTTAACGCATAATTGGCTAGGCTGTAGTGGTCTCCTTGCCTAAGACAATTAGGTGAAGCTAAATAAATAAGTAAATCATACTCTACCTAATTTTTATAGGTAATACTAATTACATTGTAAGTTTACTATGATGGTTTATCGTGTTTCTTTTGAAACTCTTCATGTACATGAACTAATTATCAACTGAGAATGGAAGCATCCATGATCTCTTGTTATTCTAACAGTTCCATCACAACCTCCTTCCGCCTTTAAGTTGACTGCAAGCTCTTCTACCAGTATCACAGCTTCCTGGCAGTTACCACCAGTATTTGCGAGACATGGAAGAAACATCACAGGGTTTAAATTGTTTCACAGAAAGAAAGGTTCTGCAGGATCTGCTTCCTCCTGGACTATTGGCAATGGATCAGCATTAAGTAGAAATGTCATTGGGCTTGATAAATTCACAGAGTATGAATTTCAAGTGTTGGCTTATACTCCTGATGGTGATGGAACAAAGAGCCCGGTTGAGGTAGAGAGAACAAAGGAAGATGGTATGTGATCAATCAAGGTTAAAGAGGAAATATAGTGCCTTATTTTAAGAACCTGTCAAAGTAAATGGACATTGTCCTTTCATCCATTGTAAATTTGCAGGGCCTAAATTACCATTCCATTGATTATAAGAAAAAGCTTGGATTCCTAGGAATCTCATTTTGAGATTTTGGTTGTGTAGGATTTCCTGTAATTATGCTCGTAACTCTCAAACCGATGTGGTATAGGTACAAACCTTAGGGCGGGAATTAGTGCTTTTGATTGTGTTGTGCTGGTGATGGTCATGTTGTCTGCTTCAGGGCATTGGTTGTCCTTTCAGTAACCAAACAGGCACTTAGGAAATAATCCTTTACTTCTGGCAAGGATTGTTGAATCAAAAAGGAAAGTTTCAAATTAATTATTGCGTTTTTCTATTACAGTTCCATCGCAAGCCCCAAGCTTTACTGTGACTGCTGTCACTTCTACAACTATTACAGCTTCTTGGGAGTTACCACCATTAGCTTCAAGAAATGGAATAATTAGAGGGTTTCAACTATTTTTTAAAGAGAAAGGTTCAGTAGGGCCACAATCCCTCCTTCAAGTCAACAGTGGATCAACATTAAGTAAAAACGTCACTGGGCTTAAAATTTTCACAGAGTATGAATTTCAAATCTTGGCATTTACATCTGTTGGCAGTGGACCAAAGAGTCCCAGTAAAGTGGAGAGAACAAAGGAAGATGGTATGTGATAGATCACGGTGAACTAACTTTGTTCCTCCATAAACTCGCGAGGCCTTGATTGCCATTGAATAGTTGACAAGCCCAAGCACGGATGCCTAATAATCCTATTTTGAGCTCTTTGCTGTAGGAATTTCTCTGAACCACTGATCAAGATGCGGTACAGCTACAAACCTTAGAGTGGGAATAAGTGCGATTAACTGAGTATTGAATGTGATTGTCATGTCTTCTGGTCCAAGGCACTGGTTGTTCTACCAGTAACCAAGTAGGCACTTGGCAAATAATCTTTTATTTACAACATAAGGATTTATCAATGAAAATGACTATTTACTCGTGTGCTTTACGTAGTGCTTTTTTTTTTCCAGTTCCATCAAAAGCCCCTAGCAGCTTCAGTGTAACTGCAGTTACTTCAAAAACGATCACAGCATCCTGGCAGTTACCAACAGAGGACTCCAGAAATGGAATAATGAAAGGATTTAAATTGTTGTACAAAAAGAGAGGATATGTGGCATCGGCAACCACCTTGACACTTAACAATGGAACAACATTAAGTAAAGATGTCACTGGACTGGACAACAACACAGAATATGAATTTGAAGTGTTAGCCTTCACATCAGTTGGCGATGGACCAAAAAGTTCTGTTAAAGTGGTGAGAACGTTGAAAGATGGTAAGATCGCAAAGAATATGTGTAACTCTTTTGCATTGTTGACAGGTGGTAAAGATTTTAGAAGGCTCAAAATGTTTTTTAATTATGCAGTTTAAAAAACTATTTTCCTTTATTCAAGTGCCCCCCTTCCCCCCCCCTCCCCCCAATAAACAAACAGCCGCAAATGCAGTGCAGGTTAGGGATTTCTGTTTCGCTGTCATTGATCTCCCACAACAGTGGCCCTCGATGTCTTGGTACAATTTCGTCAGTAAATCTTTTTTTTTTAGTAACTTTAAAAAAAACATATAAAAATGAAAGCAACCAGAAGCATCACATGGTTCTGACAATTTACTACTTAAACTAGCCTAATTCACATTTGGTGAGTGCCGCCTTATTTTTGTGGGGTTCCGTTTAAAGAAAAAAGCTCAAAACAAAGATCTAGAACAGACTAAAGAAAGCAAGAAAGAAAGCAAGAAAGGAAGAAAGAAAAGAAGAAAGCAAAAAAAATTGCGAGAAAGAAAGAAAGTACAAACTGTATGATCGTGAAATCGAAACTATTAAATATTATTAAAATAAACAATACCATTTAAAGAAAGTAGAAAGTGAAACTCATTTGTAACAAAATTTTATTTTATACGTATGATGGACGATCCTCGCAGTAGATAGCGCTATTTGAGCAATAGCGAAATTCAGACCTGAAAAAAATCAGGCCTGTACGGGACTCGAACCACTGACCTCTGCGATACTAGTGCAGCGCTCTAACCAATTGAGCTAACAAGCCAACTGAGAGCAGGCCGTTAAGTTGATTCGTAATGAACCCGTGAAAGTGATAAATGAGATAGAATAAATATATGAAAATCATATATTTTGAACTGCGGTATTTGATACGTATGATGGACGATCCTCGCAGTAGATAGCGCTATTTGAGCAATAGCGAAATTCAGACCTGAAAAAAATCAGGCCTGTACGGGACTCGAACCACTGACCTCTGCGATACTAGTGCAGCGCTCTAACCAATTGAGCTAACAAGCCAACTGAGAGCAGGCCGTTAAGTTGATTCGTAATGAACCCGTGAAAGTGATAAATGAGATAGAATAAATATATGAAAATCATATATTTTGAACTGCGGTATTTGATACGTATGATGGACGATCCTCGCAGTAGATAGCGCTATTTGAGCAATAGCGAAATTCAGACCTGAAAAAAATCAGGCCTGTACGGGACTCGAACCACTGACCTCTGCGATACTAGTGCAGCGCTCTAACCAATTGAGCTAACAAGCCAACTGAGAGCAGGCCGTTAAGTTGATTCGTAATGAACCCGTGAAAGTGATTTTTTTCAGGTCTGAATTTCGCTATTGCTCAAATAGCGCTATCTACTGCGAGGATCGTCCATCATACGTATCAAATACCGCAGTTCAAAATATATGATTTTCATATATTTATTCTATCTCATTTATCACTTTCACGGGTTCATTACGAATCAACTTAACGGCCTGCTCTCAGTTGGCTTGTTAGCTCAATTGGTTAGAGCGCTGCACTAGTATCGCAGAGGTCAGTGGTTCGAGTCCCGTACAGGCCTGATTTTTTTCAGGTCTGAATTTCGCTATTGCTCAAATAGCGCTATCTACTGCGAGGATCGTCCATCATACGTATCAAATACCGCAGTTCAAAATATATGATTTTCATATATTTATTCTATCTCAAAATTTTATTTTATAAAAAAACAACTTATATTTAGTATAAAGCATAATTGACACGTGGCATCACATTTAAATCTCACATAATTGCTCTGAATGTATGATTTCCTTTAACTGTAAGTCCAAAAACTCTAGATATTTGATTAGAGTAAAGTTAATTAATTGTTTAATAAATGAAATCACAATTGCATGTTCAAATGTCATTGTCAACGAATATGATAAACTGTAAATGAGAATGAACTAGAACATTTATATTAACTTACGTGTAACTGTGCAACTGCAACATTACTAAAACTAAAATATTATTAAAGTAAACAATACCATTTAAAGAAGTAGAAAGTGAAATTCATTTGTAACAAAATTCTATATTATTAAAAAAACTACTTGTATTAAGTATAAAGCATAATTTACATTTGGCATCACATTTAAATCTCACATAATTGCTATGAATGTACGATTTCATTTAGGTGTAATCCCAAAACTTTGGAAATTTGATCACAGTCAAGTTACTTAGTTGTTTAATAATTGAAAATTAAAATTGCATCTTCAAATGTCATTGTCAATGAACATGATAAACGATAGAGAAACATCTTCCAAGACCACTCCTTCACGAAATTTCAATTGCTGGTGAGACTATCCATTCCGTGCAAAAGGCGAGGAATATCGGCACTATGTTCGACAGCCATTTTTGCTTTAAGGATCATATTACTGACATTTGCAAATGTTCATTTTATCATTTGCGAAATATTAGCTATATCAGGAAATATCTTTCAGCGACCAGTACTGAATTGATTGTTCATATGTTTGTATCTTCGAAGCTGGATTACTGTAATTCCCTTTTGTATAGCCTACCAGCCTACACTATAAAAAAGCTACAACACGTCCAGAATGCTGCGGCGCGCCTCTTCACACTTACAAAAAAGCATGATCACATTTCGCCTGTTCTTTTCAATCTTCATTGGCTTCCCGTTAATCAACATATTATTATTAAGATTTTACTTATAACCTACAAGGCACTTAACAACTTGGCACCGTCGTACATTTGTGATTTGCTTACATCTTACACCCCATCGCGTCAACTACGCTCATCATCCAAGCACCTTCTGGTTTCTCCATCCTATAAC